TCATAATTTAACGTCAATTCTTTTTTAATGCTCATAAAGTGACAGAGAGTCTATATAAAGTTTAACTTTTAAGAGATGCTGCTTAGCATTTCTCTTTAATTATATGATTACTTTGTTATTTATGCGTCAAAAGTTGTCTTAGAACATCTCCAAAAGAATTGTCAAAATTGTCATATAGATACACAAAAATAAAATAAAAAAACCAGTAAATTCTCTCCAACCGAGTCTTCAATCGCTAAGTCAATTGAAGGCAAACCTTGCAAGTGGCCCTTTACTACAACTGTGGAAAGGTGTCGAGCCCTTATATGACAAGTTCAAACCTCGCTGGTGGCTAATATAACATATAATCTGATAAAATCTATCGTTTGATAAATGTTGTGATGCAATATATAATTTTTTTTAATAGATGTGATGCACTATATAATAAATGTTGTGTGTTCCAAATATTTGATTGATTGTCTCAATAATTAGACCCCACAAAGAGATGAAAAATTTGTAGAATAACATTATTATTTAACATATTGAATGGAGCAAAAAATTGTACAAAATATCAAATTGCGATATAAGGCATCAAATATCATTTTGCTTTTTTAAATTTGATCTCTTTTGAAGATGCTCTTAAGTACCAAAAATCGTGATCACACAATACTACTTGCCAGTTATTTTCTCCTCCTATACACTCATGTCCATTATTTTCGATAATTCTTCTCATTCGAATGACAGAAAAAAGAAGTGTGTGAGGCCAAAGAGAATGTGTGCAAATCAGTTGCTTTAGTTGAGTGACACTTGGTCTGAGCATGTATCATATTCGATTCACTCAACACAATGCCAATAGATATTTCTAGTAGGTTTAATATTAAGTTGTGACCCATGTTAGATCTTTGTGGATGAATTAAAGTCATGTTGCATAAATATATTCGTTAATATTATATCATTTCACTAGAAAGAAAAAGATTTAAAAACCTAGTAAAGTGTTGACGGAGTGTTATGTTTTGTCAACAAGAGGTTTATTTCACCTGATCACGATTATTTTGAAAAAGTGTTGAGAGAATGTATCGGTTTTGTGTGTGTATATAAAGAGTAGCCAACTAGTTTTATTGCTGTGTTCCCCATTTGCTTCACATAATTCATGGGTTGCCACTTTCTCTCTCTCCTTTTGATGCTCACAGAAAGTAAGTGAAAGAGATGTTTCGTCATTTTTTTTTTCTCCATCGACCCAATTTTGAGAACTATCCGAACTGTGAAAAAGTTGAAAGCAGGCAAAGTTGCAAACAACACCACACCACACACAAGGGAGACATTCCCTATGCTGCTGCTGCTATTGCTCTGTGACTCGATGATCAAAAAACTGTAGCCTTTGTACCATTTTTGGTTTTTTATTCCTATGCCTTCGACATAAAGTGCTCCCCACCAATATATAAAGCTGCCCAAATAAAGAAAAGTCACCACTACTCATCGGTTCATTATGGATGTGCCCAAGTCCTAACAATGTACCATTGCCTTTCCCTTCTCTTAGTATACAAATATTGTTATACTTAAAATAACAATTATAATAATAATTATAATAATAAAAGAAAACTAATGAAAATAGCTTGAAAATTTGAGTTTTAATGATAAAAACAAAATAAAGGGTAAAGTCAATAGTACCAGGATTGATTTTTTAGTGTAAAAATGTGGTTTTTCGTTAAAGTGAACAATACCGTGAGCTTTTCATTAAAACTCCCTAATAATAATGTACCCTTGAATTGTTGTGTAGTCGCTCATGTGAGTTGACGACTTCTAGCTATTGATGTATTTGAATTTAACAATGCATTAGTGGTTGAGAGTACTGTTTTAAAAAATTTCGGTTAGCACTGTCTAGGGGCTCGGCGGCTGACCAATGCCCTGATTAATCCCTAAGCGTTTGACAATTAAAAAGGGCGCCTAACTTGCCCAAACCTGCCTAGGTTGCGACTCTCACTTAAATAGAAAATACATAACTTTCATTTTGAATGCTTAGATGAACACACATTATATGTTTGTTTCTCATGTTTTCATTATGTTATAATACTTTATGATCTATATATCATTCTATTTTACAACTTATGTAATCAATGAAATTATGTACTTTATAAGTGTAGTCAGACATTTATTTATATGATATATGATAAATTTAGTTAAATACGCCTAATCCATTTAGGCCCCCGCGTAGGCCGCGTTAGTCGCCTAGGTGTTAGATCTCAACCTACCACCCAACTAGCGCCTATCATCTTTTAGAACCTTGGTTGAGAGTACTAGTTACCAATTTTCCTTTCAGTAGTTTTTTTTGGATAAAGACCAATTGTAAAAATGTTATAGAGAAATGTTACGAACAATCGCATGCGCGAGTTTACAATTTCTAGACATTGATGTATTTCAATTTTACAATGCATCACCTGAAAGTCGTCTGCACTCTAGTGCACCACTCATCATTTCATTATAAATCAAGGACAAATGTATTAATGCCTCAAAGAAATGTCACAAACAGTTGTCTACTTGACTTCTTAGTTGTTGATACATTAATACATCAACCGTTAATGGCCGTTCTATGATTTGCCAAGTTAGAGTTCCACATAGAAGTGGCTAGCTACTTGTAAATGGTAATGGTAAAGAATATTTGGGCGAGACAAGGGATCCAGAAGACCATCAAGGTTTGCTTCCCCTTTGTACCAGGAATGTTGCCTGCTCTTCTTGTTTTCTTCACGGCTTTTTTTTTGCCACCGGTGCCCACAACAAAACACACACACACACACACACACACACACACACGATGCGCATAGAATATAGAATTACAGAGAGAGCAAATAGAATCTTGGAATCTGTGAGCGCATTGCGGACCATGTCGTGTCCTCTAACTGTGGCGAATCGTTTTGCAACTGCCACATACACACATACATATACATTTACTTATATATGTTTATACACACAGACATATATATATATATATATACACGTACACGGGACAAGGGTTCCTTTACAAAGTGTTTTCTAATTAGGGTAAGGTATTCTAGGTAGCTTTTAGAGGTGCAATTATATTCTTAATTTAGTTATTTATAAGATTATCAACGTGATTAACAATGTTTAACTATATAATTAATCCCGGTAATCACCCCAATGCGGAAAGAACTTTTACTTTTCTATTTCTCCTTTTACACTCTTAGGGAAATGAAATATTTTTCAGTGTGTCAAAAACATAACCCAATATATCAACTATCATAATACAAATGGGTTAGATACTTTAAAAAAAAAAAAATTAACTAATTAATTATGACACTTGATGTACCGAATCGTATTCCCGGACATTGAAAATTTCTAGAGAGAGTTTTCGTTGGCATGGCACTTGCAACTTGAGAATTAGCAAGATCTTTATCGGGATAAGATGGTGTTAATTAGGTGGAAGGGTTTACAAAAGTTGAGAAGGCCAATTCATGTTTTTGGGCCAGGACTTAGGTTTGTATTTATCCTCAGCTCGGAGTCCGATCTCTAGCCCGGGCCAAACCCACCATGCTCTTACAAAAGTGGTCTTCCTGTTCACGAAGTAGCGTTGCCATCTCCCACGCAGCAACCGTAAACCTGACAGACACAGGGCAGGGTTTAACTTACATTACAAGTTCATTAGAATTGTACAAGCTGTCAAGATGTGCGCCTTCTCGGATGGCAACGTTCTACCCAGTGCACAATTCCTCTTATCAATTTCACTGCAGTTACCTCCCTAGTAATGCTACCACATCTCCTGCGCATTTGTTCGCAATTACAATTTTCCGAGGATTGTAACTTGTATGAGCATCCATTTGTGGAAAAGTTAGATCACCACCATCTTCACTCAAAGAAGCCTCGAAAATGTCATCAAACCATAAGACGCTACCACTACTGCCTGCCAAAGCATCAGCTCTTCAGCATCTTTTCCCTATTGGCATGCAGACCTCTTGCTCTGCCACATTGCTGCTACAGACCATTATTTGGTGAATTTTGGCATCAGGAAATACTGCCAATTCAGGATTCAGGGGTAAAAATATAAAACACTCATCACTATGCAACCGTCAGGAATGAGCATGCTCGATCGATTAAAAAAAGAGAGGGTTATTATTGTCACTTAGTATTACGGTCTAGTGGTATTCTTTTTCACTTGTAAGTGAGAGGTCTTAGGTTCGATTTTTGCCAAATGCGAGTTTGAACTATATTATTACTAGCTCATTGTGAGGTTAAGCCCACCCCCGCCCTCTCAGTGTAGATAATATCGTTTGTTCAAAAAAAAATAAAAAAACAGTGGGTTATCATTGGAATCCAACTCTAATATGCAAATTAGTCCAAACCATTACTTTACTTGTAACACAAATCTTAGCTTAGCTTTAATGGTAAGAGATAGAGAGGGAACCTGATTCCGACAGCCTTTCAAAACGACGCCGGAATGAACTTTTAGTCAAATGACTAATAGTAATGAATTTTTAGTTGAGGAATCATAGCTGCACGTTTTGATGAGTTGAGTGACAAATGGTAATAGATTTTTAGTTGAGAGACTATTGCTTCAATTTACTTTCTTTTTTTTCTTTTTTTTTGGTACAACCATGTAATTTACACTAAGGAGAGAGTTCAACTCAACCGCACAATTACCAACTTAATTTGGTATCGAATCCGTAATTTACGAAATTCGAACATAAGAGGATGAAATGGGAGAGTTGGAAATGATATAACGCCACAAGGTATGGCGCGTTTTATTATTAACCGTACGATGGCAGGCCGTCAAGATCGAAAGGAGGGAAATGGGCTTGGGGGTCCCACTGCAGCAAACTATAAATTCCTGGAAATTGTTAGGGTTTAAGGTTTTATCAATCTTGCCGTCTTCTCCTAGCACTAAACCCCCTAAAATGAATCCTCGCCGCGCCAGCATTGGAATGTCGCCGGAGGCACTCTCGGCGTCGGGTCGGGGCTCCGAGAAGATGAGCTTGCCCGCGCTTCAGTCGAAGATGAAGTGCGACCCGGAAGGGTACTTGCAGGAGCTCCAGCTGGTGTATAACCAGTTCAAGTCGGCCGTGGATCTCTTCGAAAAACAATTAGAGATGGGGTTCACGTCCGTCAGCGGCGTCGGCAACGACCCGGCCGTCGCGAAGGACCTTGGCGACCGGGCGATGTTCTTGGCTCACGTCACCCCCTTTTACCCGACCCAGATGGCCTATTTCCCCGTCGAGCTCTCCCAGTTTCTCTGCTCCACCGCCCGAAAACTCCCCTCGGGGCTCCGGCTGCATGTCACCCAAGCTCTCATTCTTCTCATGAATCGAAAGGTGCGTGCACTGCACGTGTGCTTGTGTGAATTTTGTTTGAAAGACTGGGAATTTAGTGTTGAGATGTGTTTGGTTGCTGAGAAAGTGTGAGAAATAGTAAAATTGACTTGCTTAATTTCGATATTCGTGCTTGGATGTGTTGTAGATGGTTGATTTGGGAGACACTATAGCTATGTTCATGGAGCTGCAGACGTATGGGGATAAGCCTTTGAGAAAGCTGGCATTTTCTCATGTGGTTCATAGCATAAAGCGAATGAATCAGAAGCATAAGAACGAAGCAAAGAATCGGGCACTTCAAAATGTTGTTTTTGAGATGCTACGGGTTTGTTATGCTATCGCTTTATTGTCGAAATTTCAGGGCTTTTTGTTAGTTTAGTGCTTGAATTTATATTTGTTTTCTTTGTTTCGATAGCAAGAGGATGAAACAAAAGCAAAGAGAGCGCTTATCACGCTCCGAGAGCTTCACCAGAGAAAGCAGTGGTTTGATGAAAGAACGGCAAATGCGATTTGTACTGCGTGCTTTCATCCATCTTCAAGGTTTGCATTGTCTTTTTTGGTGGTTTCTGTGTTGCGTTCTAACGTTGGGTTTAAAAGCTTACAATTTATGTTCAAATGCATCAGGATAATGATTGCTTGCCTCTCATTTCTGCTTGATTACGAGAAGTTTGAAGACGATGATAGTGATGCATCAAGTAGTGAAGATGAAGGTCCTCACACATCTCAAGTAGTCCTTAATAGAGAGTCTATTTATAAGGTCAGTCTTGAACTATTACTTGAAAGTTTTCAAAACCAATTTATTTAACCCAGATTTTGTATCATGATATGTTACGCATAATGAATTTTGTGTGGTTATCACATCCTTTTATGCAACGTGGATTGAAATGCACTGTTTGATGCATTTGATTGCATTTGCATTTATAGTTCATGATTTTTTATGAGAATTTTGTCAGCACAATCAACAATATTTCTTATTTCTTCATTGCCTTTTAGGCACACCATCAAGGTACAATTGCTAGCAAGAAGAAAAAGAAAGCAAAACTGCAGCGTGCCATGCGTAGTATGAAGAAACAGCAGCGCCTATCATCAGAAAAAACTAATTCAAATTATCATACGCCACTTAACCATTTGCAAGATCCGCAGGTTTGTCTGATCTTATCATCTAGTTAGTGTTTTTATTGTTTCTGTTGATCAAGGAGATTTGACAGATCATTCTTCCTGCAGGGATTTGCTGAGAAACTATTCTCCCGCCTTCAAACCTGCAATGAACGATTTGAGGTAAGTGGTCGCAATTGTAGAATTAACAAAGTACAAAATACACATATGCTTGTCTTATGGAGAAAATTGTGTATTGCCCGTGCAAAGTTGGAATACTATCATAGTGAAGTTAGCTGTGTTTGATCTTTTTATTCGGTTGAGTGCACAGGTTCAACTACATCATAACATGGCATAGAGCAAAACACCAAATTCTTGTCATGCTTTGTTTATATCCCATAGGTTTCCATTGTTTATGAACTAATGGTGGAAGTTGCTTTGGTCATTTGTTTTGATTATATATCACCCTGTGTTAACTGAAGGTCAAGATGATGATGTTGAAAGTAATTGCTCGCACGATTGGGCTTCACCGCTTGATTTTGTTGAACTTTTATCCTTTCCTTCAGAAATATATTCAGGTACATAATCTGACCTATCCACTTAATGTATATTCTCTTGAGAGTTGAGTTGTGATTGTCTTGGTATCACAGCCTCACCAACGCGATGTCACAAGTTTACTTGCGGCAGCAGTTCAGGCTTGCCATGATATGGTCAGTTGGCTTTTCTTTCCCTGTCCTCCCCTAACTTTTTACGTTCTTAAAGTCCTAGTAACAATTGTTCAAATTACATATGATGAATGAGCAGGTTCCTCCTGATGCGGTTCAACCACTGTTCAAACAACTAGTGAATCAATTTGTACATGATCGCTCACGTCCAGAGGTGTTACTTCATAGATGATATGTTTTAGTATATTCTTTATAATTGGCTTGACTATGTCTCTGATCACTTGCTTTCTCCAGGCCATAGCTGTTGGACTGAATGTAACAAGGGAGCTATGTTTACGGATTCCATTGGTAACAACCTAATTATATCATTTGGTTTTGGGCCGTACATTTCAAGTTGTCCAGTACTCATCTTTAAATGCATTGAAGTTAATTAATCGTGGTCTATATATATATATATATATATATATATATATATTATTTTTATTTTTTTTTTTTCTTTTTGTTTTTTCTTGCCATTTGTATTCTGATATAACGCAAGAATGTTTTGCTAGGCTTCCATAATTAATTTTTGTTCCGTGGATGCAGTTGATGACCGAAGAGTTGCTGCAAGATCTTGCATTATATAAGAAATCACATGAGAAAGCAGTTTCAATAGCAGCGCGCTCACTTATCAGTTTATTCAGAGAGGTCTCTCTCTCTCTCTCTCTCTCTCTCTCTTATGCATGGACTTGCAATTGCTAGTGCATGCATTTCCATGAACCATGATTGTTGCTGAAGACTGAATATTTAGTGTACATACAGATTTGCCCCTCACTGTTGATTAAGAAGGACCGTGGACGCCCCACTAACCCCAAGGCAAAACCAAAAGCTTATGGAGAAGTCAGTGTACTCAGCAATGTTCCTGGTGTTGAACTGCTAGAAGAAGATGACGGCAATGAGGACAGTGATGATGCTGATGAACATTCATTCAGCAGCACTGATGATGATAAAGATGATGATCTTGATCGTGATGAGATGGTTGCTTCCAGTGATGATGATGACTAACCAGATGGACAACAGTGATAGTGGAAGCGAAGATGATGGAATAGAAGAGGATGCCGTGGCAGCTGAAGATGAAGATGGTGATGATAGTATCGATGATAATGACAGTGATCTCAATGGGAGTGAGGATGAGGATGAGGATGAGGAAGAAGAAGAGAATGAGGAGGAAGAATCCGACAACGATGATGCCAAAGGTAGTGGAATTGGAGTAAAAGACAACAAAGCAAAAAAGAGGAAGTTTGCCAATTTTGATAAACAACTTAATCATGTTGAATCAAGTCTTCGGGCTTTGAAGAGATTGGCCAAAGAGAACATGGAGCCTGCTTCACTGGACTCAGCTGATGGTTTTCTTTCTAACGAGGACTTTCAGAGGATTAAGGAGTTAAAGGTTTGTTTTTCTTTGTTCCCAAACTTAAGTTGATGCCATAGGTGAAGCATTCTGTAAGCCTGTAACCTTGGCCATGAACAACAATTTTAATGTATTTAAGCTGTCTTTGTAGATGTCATAAAAACTTGCTCATTGTTTGATGCTTCTTTTTGTTAGGCAAAGAAGGAAGCCCAAATTGCTTTGACGCGGCAGGGATTATTGAAGAAGGGCGCAGACGCCAAGTCACCTGCATTCAAGATTCCCAGCTCATCTGAACTGAGCAGTAAGCGAGTAGATCCTGCGAAGCTTGAAGTAAGTTTAAATTATTTTACTCGTTATGACTCAGTATGCTGCTTTTGAGACATTCCTGGGAGAGAAAAAACTTAGAAACGTTGGAATGTTGTTAACTCCCATACCTATTGCTTCAAGATCCCTTTAGCTGTTTTACTGTCCTTAGTGTCTTGTAAATCCAAGGGGAAGGAGACATATAAAGCTTTTAAAACGTATTGTGCCTTCTTTATTACTCAATTTGGGCATGCACCGTGTAGGTCCATGTAAAGAAAAGGATGAGCAAGGAGGAGAGACTGGCATTAGTGAGAGCAGGGCGGGAGGAGAGAGGGAAGTACCAGGCTCGAGCCGCCATAAAACAGAAGAAGGTATGTCCTTGGGATTCCATTAATTGCCAGATGACAACTAATGGTTTTAGCACTCAGTTCACTTTTCAAAGGAGAAGTGAATAAATTGAGCTCCGATAGGGTTCTGACCGAGCTTGATCTTTGTTTTGACACTCGTATTGGTGAATGACAACAGACAGGAGGTATGAGCAACAAGCAGAAGGAACACAAAAAGCAAATGCCTATGGCTGCAAAGAGGGCAAAGGTTGCTAAATCTCGCGTGGATAAAAGGAAGCAGCAGCAGCGATCTGGCAAACAATTCCGAGGGAAGAAGGCATGGAAATGAGGAGCGTTATCAATTTTTCTTCCCGTTTTCCCTTTGTGTTTTTTACCTGAATGAAGAGGGTCCATGGGGATGCCATTTTTGTAGTTGGCAACGTATGCTTACTCGTAACAATGTTTATGAACATTCCAAACCGAAGTTAAATTCCGCCATTCATGCGTTTCAGTCTCCTTTTGACGAAAGATGATCGTTACCAAATCCACAACGTGACACGTGTATATTGAACGGGTGGTTTACTTTTTGACGGTGCATCGCTATTTTTTCAGCATTTTCTTAAGTGGGGCAGCAGTTTAAGTTAAAAGCGAAGGTAACACCATTTAAATTAACCAGAACCTGGTCATGAGCAGCTCCATGGGCGACGTAATGTCCCAAACGAAAACTATCATTACACCACCAAGGAATTTTTTTCTATAACGCAGCCTACACTAAACTCGGATTCAGGGCATGGGGAAGAAACGAAAGACCGGCGTTATCTAATACAACAAAGGTCGGCCAAGAGATGCCTTACTCTTCACCAGAACACGAAGGCAAATCACTACTCTGGCCAAAAATATCGGGAATTCCGTCCCAGTTCTTCTTCTCCCTAGTTTCCCAATACCCTCCCACATAACTATAACAACCATCCTCGTCCTTCCGAAACCATCTTGGCTGCCACCCTCTCTCTTGCAACTTCCTTGCCTGCACAAAATTATCAACTGTTGCTAAATACAATTTAAGAATAGAAGAATACACTGCATACAGGAGTCCATCAATTCCCGGAAAACACCTGGGAAATGGCATTAGCCACATTCGGTTTCAAGCTGAGTCCTGAATCTCAAACTCTCGAGAATAGGCCAGATACGAGATTTAAGTAATTTTCAATTAAATTCAAACGGCATTAGGCTTGCAATTAGATACAAGAATGCATGAAACGAGGAGGATCTATGGGTGAATAACGGATCAAAGGAGAAAGAGGATGTACAGGGGGTACCTGTCTTTGTAGCTGTTCAAGTCTTAGTTTCTCTGCATTTGCCAATTCATAATCGCCATTCTCCAAATGTCTTTGATCTGGCCTTAGCCTTGAGTCCGTAGGCGGTAACCTCTCCAATAGGCCAGGTGTCAGTTCATTAAGGGATATTGCAAAAGGAGAGAGATTGTATCTTGTCTTGGTAACATAGTCATCTCTTTCCCAGAGAAGCACAGCTTCTGTCATAGGATCATAACCCTTTGGTTTTGTAGTTGGATCTCCCAGCACGTAGTACATTGCCTCGTCCCACTTACCCACCAACATTGCTACTTTCTCTCCAGTTCTATTGTCTTGAACAAATCCATGAACCTGAAATTCCAATGGCTAAACCTGAGTGTAACATAAACATGAAAATCGGGCCACCCGTGTCAAATATTGTTCTGGGGAGAATTTAGACTTTAACTAACCTGATGTGGATTTCGGTCTATAATAGACTGCTCCTTGAACTTTAGCTTGCAGGAATAATTGCCGCTGCCCCTGATGCGCATGGTGCCATAGTGGTCACAATAAATTTTTCCTAGTATGATATTGTATATAGAGGTAGTGACCTTGCTCCACTGAAACATCTCCCCATCCTCAAACTGCAAGGCTAGGGTACCCACAGGATCAAGCTGAATAGAACGCCCCCAAAACTTGCCTTTGAGATTGGAGTCCGCCCAGAATTTCCAACCTCTTCCTTCACAGTGACAAGCAACAACCATTGGGTGGTGACTCACCTGAGTGCAAGCTCGTCCTTGTTAGACATCAATCAATGGTTCATAAACATTTGACAATTATCTGTGATGCTTCAAACTCAATGAGTCCGAACAACATGAAGCAACAAAGAGGCTACTTTAATCTTTTACCGTTTTTCATACTTAATGGACAGAAATGCATTTAAAAGGGTGCTACTAGACATGTCAACGTGCATTACCTTTTCAGAGAAAAAACGAAGTCCTTTATCTGCATAGTCAGCCTCATAGGTCTCCCCAAGGAGAGGATTAAAGGGTTTGCAATGCCGACCTTCTGTTGATGCATAGCCAGATACAGCAAATGCTGCAACGTTTAGAATTCTCATTAAATCATTTCCCTGCACCACAGGAAGTCCAAATTAATTCATGTTCCAAAGTTCAGACAATTAGCGATGCATAGAAGGGGACAGCTGAGGACCTTACCTGCTTTCCCCATTCCGATGCTCGATCAACCAAGTTTGAATATTCCAGATCTTCAAAGCACTTTTGCAACGAAGAGAGTGGTTCATTAAAATAAACAGGAAGACAAACTCCAGACAAGTCCTTCCCAATATTATCCTTGATAATCGACCACAAGCTAATAGGCTTCTCTTTCTCCTTGGGTTCTGGCAAATTATCCCTCCTTCTCACATATGGATATTTAATTGTCGTGATCTCCTCAACTCCATGCAATCGATCGGAAAAGAAAGAATCTCTTTCAAATATAGAACCATTTCCCAAACCTTCCTTGCTCCGGTGGGAAGCACTTCTTAGAGTATCTGAATACAAAATAACTCTCATCAAATTATGTTTCTTTGATTAATCAGAAAAGAAAGAATCTCTATGGTATACACACCATTCCCCAAGCCTTCTCTACTTCGACAGGAAGCACTTCTTAGAGCTTCTGAAGACAAAATGTCATGTGTATCAAAATATGTTCCTTCATCTTCATCTGTTTCAATTTGGCTTTCATTATCTGCATCAGAATCACTTGCACTGCCCTCAGATAAGACGGAATAGAAATCTGTGTCATGAGCAAAACCATAAAACAATCAAAACTAAGGGTCAAAATTAAATTGTCATCGATAATATGATCAGAAACTGTGTATACGGCGGGAAACCTTTAGAGTAGCACCGAAACTAAAAGAAATATTAAATCATCATTATACATCTCATAATTTAAAACATTGACTTCAACAAAATACTAAGGTAATGGAAATGCCAAAGATGACTGACCACTAAATCTCCTATCCCCCTGTCCATATGACTCACGCTCCTTTGTTTCATCCACTACTGTAGTTTCCAGCTCCATTTTCTCCGTCTGCAAAAGGAAATTTAGATAGGATATTACTTTCCGACTAGCAAGATTTACACCACCCCCCGTATTGTAGCAAATTTATTAAGCAGAAACTTAGTAATTATATGTAAGGAAATCTGGTATAAAGCAGTACAGGATGGAAGAAATACCTCCAATTGTCTCAAGGACTCTAACAGCATCACGTGTTTACTCCGAAGAGCCTTCAACTGATTCTGAAGCTCTGACACTTCTAAGAGCATTATTGACTCGCAGTCTTTGATCACCGGCTCACCAATGCCCTCCTGTGCTAATCTTAGTCTTAGTTTCTCTGTCGAGACAACTATATCTTTCGAAAGTACTAAATCATTGCTTGTTACTCGAGGAAACAGATCTTTAGCACTGAGCAGTGCCTCAACCCATGTAGCTCGGTCCTCTCTTGATACACACCGCAAGTGAAGAGTTTTAGTTCCTGTGAATATGGAAAGCCGTTTATCATCTGATTTGCTGGCACGAATTGAAGAGACCTGTAAACCAGACCACTTCAAATTCAGTAACCAAAAACCATCAACTCAAAAGCACAGATATGCGCAATTGAGCATACATGTTATGCATCATCAGACAAAACACAAGCATTCCTCTCAACGGATTCGAGTTTTGTTGGGTCCATCAAGATTGAGGAAAACTTTTGGTGGGTATCAATCAATATTTTCTAAAAATTCCATGAAAAGTGTAAGAATATTAAACATTTTCTGTAACTTTCGACACCCACCGCTTACATTGCAGCAAACGAGTGCACAGACCCTACAAAACGACGCAGAAAATCCCAACTAATAAACGCAATGGATACAGACTTCTTCATTTGCTAAATATAGCATCACCTCCAAAAATAGCATTACCTCTATAACACAAACAATGGCTTCACATTCTGTGATAAGCAAAAGCTCATACCTTCAAATGCACTTCTCCGAAAGGCTTCCACGGCCTCGCCGCCACCGCACCGCCAAGCCGATTACTTCCCCAATTCGCCTTCTTCATATACCTCAGCGAGTCCTCTCCGATCACCCTCAACCCCTTCTCTCTCACCTGGCTCATCAAAATCTTGTCCGGTCCATGAACCTTATAGTACGAAAGCACGCCGTCTTCGAGCACAAACCACCGCGACCGCCACCCCTTCCCGTAGTTCACCCATTTATACAGAATCCCAGCCACGCTGCCGCTCACGCCTCCGCCAAACACCTTCGAATCCCTTGTTTCACTGATCGTATCTTCAACCTCATGCCCCAGCCGCGACGGAAGCCCTGTCCGTTTCAGTACCGGCCGACGAGACCTGAGCCGAGTAGCTCGGCCTCGAACCATAGCTAACGTTCCGGATCGGAGCCTCCGGGCCTATCTGGCACTCACCCAACTGCTTCGCCGCCACCGGGGTGCCCCGGTCCCGATCGACCGAAACCGGCGCAATGCAGCACAGCGGGTTCATCTTCAACCCCAATCAGACCATCCAATCAGACAAAAAGCGAATCCGATTGTTGAAATCCGAATCCCTTCCAGCGCCGATCAAACGGCTCCGATTTATACAAATGCAGGACCCGATCCGAAGCCAAAACGAACCTTTCGAAAATGACTTAAAGACTCGGAGCTTCTGGTTCTAGAGAGAGAAAGATGAGAGAGAGAGAGAGAGACACTCGTGAAGAGCTCTGCGCAGACAGATCCATCAAAACACTTCTCCTGCTGCTGCTCCGTAATTACATATTTCATGCGAGGGTAGGTTAAATCTTTAATTTATTTTAATTAAGAGGTAAAAAATGGGATTATAAATTAAAATTTGGGTGTTTTAAATAATTAATGGCGCAATTAAGGTAAATGCAGGGGGTTTGGTTTTTGGGTGGAGGCAGAAAGGGGACATCTAACGTGCGCGTTTGTGCGCAGGTGGTGGTGATTGGTTTTGTCCGGTGGGAAATATGAATCTCACTTGTGAAATTACGATGGTACCCTTGTGGTTTGGCGTGTGTAGTGATTGGATGGGGATGTTTTGGATAATTCCTAGGATTTTGAAAGCGACGAGTGAACCGACGGACCGGGGTGTCCCTGGAGGGAAGTGGGGAAGATAAGGTGCGCGGAAGAGTATCAGTGGACGGTGGA